CCTGCTGATGAAAATGGGCAGTTGGCTCCTGCACTGCCTGCCTGGACTCAAGTGGCTCAGTCTATGTGAGATAGTAGAGGAGTTTGAGCAGCTCATGACAAAACAGGTGGGAATATTCAGATCCCTACATTTAAAATATACAGAATTTTCAATAACCTTATTTCTTTAATTGCACATATGAGCCTATTTGTCTACTCTTTTGTGATACTTAAAGAAATACACCCTTTTTTCAGATTGATCTCCGCTTTGAGGCCAAGAACATAGAGCGTTTCCAGGAAAATTTCCGCAATGTGGATTATGTCAAGTTCCCAACTACGTTACGACCATTTGTTACCAGGTCTATTTTAGTGGAGACTTTTGAGGTGAGTACAGACGGATTCAAAATGTATACAAAAACACTGACAAACATGATTGAGTGGTAGTTTGAGCCCCAAATGTGCAATGTAACACATATCAGAATATCAAAAGCAAACATCTACAACTAATGAAAGATAGTCTTTCTTTAAATAACTCAACAACAATTGACAAAATGTCAGATTTTCAGGAAATATATAATAATTGTGGTTGAAATAATTATGTACATGAAGCCCACGTTGTCCTGTTTATTTTCAACATGTTTTTCAGGAGAGTGAGCCCATATCCAACTACCTGAGACCTGACATTCCTAAAGAGGTGAAGCAGAGAATCGCCAGAATGGGAATAGAGACCATGCTGAAGATGGTGAGAAATGTCACCTGCAGGATATCTGTTGCATGTTATTTTTACCATTACTCTTATTTCATGACTTGTGTGAATGTGATTAAAGGGCCCATGTCATGCTTTTCCGGTTATTACCCGTCCCCTTGTGTGTTATGAAGGTTTTTATGCATGTAAACGGTGTGCAGAGTCAAAACCCTCAAAGTACACCCTGTAGCGAGTAAAACTCTAACACAGAAAATACCTCCCCAAAACGCCTCGTTGGAGATACGTCATTGTCCATTTGATTCTTCCATTTCGTTCCGGGTACGGCATGATGTCAACCCGCACCCGGAACGAAATGGACCAATCCGTGGAGCCGTTACGTTACGTCCGCGGAGCCGTTACGTTAAGCCCCCGCTGATTGGTTCAAATTGACCAATCCACGGACTTCCTCACACACACACTCTATGTGCAGGCAGCAGCTCTGCTGATTTCTCCTCCCTGGCTGCAGGCTGATAACAGACAGTTGGGATCGCGGCGAAATTCTCTCTGCAGACCCATTCTCACAGCGTTTATCAACCTTTTTCTTACTCAATATCAAGCCACACTTATTGTTTTTACTTCGGCTGTGAGTTTGTGTGTGCTCAGGATGAGTTTGGCTGTGTTTCGCTATGTATCCTAAACAAGGAAACAACACCTCCACGGAGCTCAGCGCGATTCACAACGTCCCGACCAATCAGAGCACACTGTGCTCACAGGGAGGGTGGGGGCTGGAGCTGTTGGAGCTACAACGAGCCGTTAAAGGCAGAGAGTGAAATTCAGTGAATACACGTAGTTTACAGAGATGCTGTATGAGAAACCAATGTGAGTTTGGAAAAATGCACAATATAAATCTATTCTAGTAGACCTCAACAATGGAATTATGATCAGTGGAAATGGCCATGACATGGGCCCTTTAAGATCTTTTAGATTGTATGTTTGCTTATTGTCTCCATCTATATGTCTGTTTTCCAGGTTTTTGTTGATAACTTTGTCCACGGTGATCTCCACCCGGGGAACATTCTGGTCCACTGCTCCGGGCCTCTTCCTGGTTCCTCTGACGGGGCTGGGGTCTCAGGGGAGGCTCAGGGTAAGACCACCCTCACTGACCTGTGGGACACGGTGGTGGTCAGCATCAGACCGGAGCCCTGTCCTCTGCAGCTGGTGCTGCTGGACGCCGGCATCGTAGCCCACCTCAGCGAGCACGACCTGTCCAACCTCAAGGCTGTGTTCACTGCTGTGGTGCTGCATCAGGTAATGAGGTTCATGCTGAACTATGACATAAGGAAAGTCTATGATAAAAATGATTGCATATCATGTAGAACAGGTGTGTCCAAACTTTTTTCACAGAGGGCCACATACAGAAAGATATTCGAAGGGCTGGGCCACTCACTAGAGCAGTGGTTCTCAACTGGTCAGGCCTCGGGACCCACTTTTTTCCTTGTCAATAAATCGTGACCCACCCCCATTTTGAACCGCTCAAATCTATTCAACAAAAAATCAGCATACAATTGTAATTAAAGTGAAGTACAGTGCATATATCCTTATATCCCTTCACAGAACTAAAGTATGCTTTTAAAGAAAGTTTAATCTGATGAAGGTCATTAAGTTTCTAGAATCAAAGTTGAACTGTATAACAAAAAAAGGCACACTTGACTTGTATTCATTCAATAAAAAGGCAGACATGGAGCCAATCCTGCAAATTCACCATACGTGAAAACGTGTCATGCTTTTTTGAAATACTAACATATAAATACGCATTCTGGTACACTCTGAGAAGAAAATAAATGAATCCATTACCACCAGACATATTTAATAATAGTTTATGCCATTTTTTGATTTTCACTTTGTTCTGACAGCTGAACTTGCTGCTCCACACAGAGAGAAGAGTAAAGAGGAGAGAGTCTGTACTTTAAATTGTGGGTAAGGGTAGATAGCTCCCATTGTTCTGTGACCTGTCAATCATCAAACCGGGGGTCGTATTTCATTACGTGTTAATTTTTATCTGAATATGTACCCATGGATGTATAAAGAATAGTTCTACCGCAAAGTTATTCTCCGTCGGGACTTCCTGCAACAAAACCATGCCGTTATCTTGATTCTGATTGGCCAGAAGACTAAAAAAAACCTCAGCAAAGATGTTTTATTGAGAAGATTATCACTACGTCACTGAAGTTTTCAAAACCGTTGATGTTCTCCGGCATTTCCAGTCCAACGCCTACTGCATGAGCAGCGTTAGAAAATCGGCTTTCAAAATAAAAGTTTGACTTAGTTTGGAAAAGAAAAAAGTTATTTTCTTTTTTCACTCCCACATCTGCGACCCACTCGATGCTTTTTTCTTATCAACTTAGTTTGCACACCCCTGATGTAGAAGATGGGTTTCAAGCAGTGTACTTATATTAGCCCTTAATGACCTTTTTTTAAATGGCTAACAAGAAATGTATGTAATCTGTAGGTCACATAAAACCTCCAGCTTTGACTAACTGTTGCCATGGTTTTGGATTTCCTTTTCTCAGGGCGAGCGAGTGGCAGAGTTGCTCCTGAATCACGCTCGGGCCAATGATTGCCAAGATGTGCCGCAGTTTAAGAAGGAGATGGCCCAGCTGGTGGACAATGCTCTCAGCAAAAGCCTCTCCCTGGGAAAGGTACTTACCTGGAATTGCAAATATCTCAGTGTTATACTTATTCCTATGCACACGTAGTTTATGGTGTTGGTTGGTTTTGTGTTAGGGAATAACAGTCACTAAAGATTTCTCATGATGTGTTTTGTTTGCTGTGTTTATAGTTCCAAGTGGGGGAATTGCTGTCCAGAGTCTTTGGTGTACTCATCAAGCACAAGGTAAAATATCAGGAGGTTACATATTTATGTTAAAAAAAACTACTACTGTAGCTTTAAATGCTGTAATTAGGATACTGCCAACTGTCAATCAGGGGAGGAAACATAATTTGAATCCCTGATGGGACGTGGCAATGTAGTTTAAAACATAATTATACTGTCAATGAATATTTGGTTTTATTTTCTTAACTGAGAAATCTATGAATACAAGTCTTTAAAGAGATAATCCTATACTTCAAGGTCTTCAAAACTATCCTTGCACACGTGTCATTTGAGCTGGTTTAATACATGTACCAGCTTTGTTGCAGAAAGGTGTTTGATCAGCTATTAAACTCGATGTTGATTGTTTTTCTAGGTGAAGCTGGAGAGTAACTTTGCCTCCGTTGTGTTTGCCATCATGGTGCTGGAGGGTCTCGGCAGGACACTGGATCCAAACTTGGACATCCTGGATATTGTCAAACCTCTGCTGCTAAAAAACTATACCTCAAGGCTCTGACACACACACACAAGAGCTGGGCATCTGTAACAACACAACGCACCTACACTCTATATATTTTATACATATAGTAGATCTATAGATAGAGTGCATGCGTGTGCTGTGTTCTCGATATAGTGGTGGTTGTATTCAAGCTAACAAGATGCCACTGTGGGGGCCAAAAACACTGTTTCTTCTCTACATTGTAGCAGTGCCCTAAATACCTCATTTTTAATTTGTTGTATTCCCACTTTGATCTCTGCTTCTCATGCGTTTCATCATCTACTGTGTTTGTGCTATCATTTCATTTAGAGGAAAAGAATCTTCCAGGCGCCTCTAACTGAGCCTAATGAAGGAGAGTGCGTGCGTTACACGAAGCAATCCCGTGTTTATGGAGTGCTAATGGACTCAGACATAGATTGCATCAGAGACCATTTGTAGTGATTTAAGATATAAGAGGAAATACTGTGACTATCCCTGGTTGCTGTCCAATGCATGTTTAACTTTTTAATGACTAATATTGATCTCAAGATGTCTTTTATTGCTCTGTATTTTATTGCATCTGAGATAATGTTGTCTAATGGGCCATATTTGCTCTTGTGTGAATCACTATACTGTTCCATTGATGAAGTGAAGTCTAGACTAAGTGTGCACACAACTGAACCATCTCTTCTAACTTTCCATTAAAATAGTGGGAACAATTTGATGAATAATACATTTCAATAAAAAGGGAATCTGTTAATTGATGGGTTTTTTTTGTTACCAAGTGAAAGTTTTCTCACCTTTTAGTGACTGGTGCTGCTTCAAAGCAGAACATTCATTACATCATGGGCACAGTATCCATTAATTTACAATTTTATTAAATCTGTCAATGAAAAACACAGACAAGAGACGCGTTTCTGTCAATGTCATCAGGAAGAACAGTCAGCATGGCTGAAAGAGTGAAATCAGGAGGTTTTTGGTGCAAAAAAACTCATCACATACCCTTTATTGCAAAACTGTTGACTTTTTCTTTTATCACCATCAAGAGCCCAGATAGAGCAGCACTGTTCAAGTAAGGAGGGAGGGGAGAGGTGACAACTGTGTAAAAAAATCTTTCAATAATAATAATTAATAATAACAATGACAAAAGAAAATCAAAACATCTCTAAAAGACAAACACAATCACCTCAGTATAAGACGAGATTATGTCACGGTCACAACAACCAGAGAAAAGTTGTTTTATTTTTTTCCCTCTTTTTTTAATGAATTAAATAGTTTTTAAAAATATCTCACCATTTACTTATACTCATCTTTTTTCATTTATTGCGAAAAATAGGCAACTGGACTAATTGTGACGATGTTCTCTTGTGTGTTTCTGTGTGTGTGTGTGTGTGTAACAGAGAAATAGAGATTAAGTGGAGAGATAAAGTGGAACGTCTCGGAGCGTTGGCACTGAGAGTAGCAGCAGTGTGTGGCAATGCAGTACTCTCATCCAGCCACCAGGTGGCACAGTTCAGTATGAACATCCCTCCAGGAGCGATGGCCCCCTGTGCCAGAGGAAGTTAAAATATGCCAACGTCAGCCTCTGTTTTTGGAATGATGCTTGTGTGTTGAAACTTTGTCCACGGTCGCTTGTCTGCGTTGCAAGATCTCAGTTCTATGTACAAAGGTTTCAAATCCCTGAAGGACATCTACAAAGACAAGTGCAACCTCCATGTGACCATCCCCTTTCTGGAATAGTTAAGGGATCAAAGGGTTCCTCTATAGGGAAAAAAGGGGAATAGTACCAATCAGATAGATTAGGTAAACGTGCCACGACAGAATCAACAGAATTGTTCTTGGGAATAAAATTCAGGAATGATGGCTGAGGACCAAGAATTAGGGATGTCAAAAGCTGAAGGGGAACAGGTTGTAACATAGTTTCCTCACTCAGAGGGGGCACCAAAATATCCTAACATAAGTCTTTCTAACATAATGTCCAAGAGAGGTGATGAAACAGGAAAGAAAGCAGCGCAAATAAAATATCGCATCCATCGTCCATTTGTCATATCCGTTCATGCTGATCCATCAGTCTCTCCATGCATTTTAAAAATAGTCTTTTAAGACCAAGCAGTCCTCCTCCGTGTTGAATTGATTGTATTTTGTTTAATGCTCGTCCCGCACTTTTTCTGTCAGTCTTTGTCAGCCCCCTGGAGGACTGGCTGCCCTCCAGTTCTCTGAGGCGGCCCCAGCAGGAGCATATAGCTCATTTACAAGGGGGATAGAAGGGACACCAAACAGTTAGGAGGGGCTTCTTGGGATTGGATATGTGGAAGAAATCAGGGTGTAAACTTTAAGTACGATGTGGGTGTGCGTCCTTCCATAGCAGGGCGAGGGAGCGCAAGGAAGGCCAACAGGGCTGGAAAGAGAGAAGAAGGGTCTATGTATAGGTCTTAAGCTCAGCGCTCATTATCTTCTCATAAACACAATTGTCTTTGAGGCCCAAGCTACGTTAAGGTCATGGCAGATGAAGCTTCTCGTTGACTTTTGTTTCACGTCATCGAAAAGATCAGCAGCTCTCAGTGATCCATGACTGGATCCAAACAAGGTCAAACTGAGAATTCGTAGGAGATTAGATGGAAGGGACTGGGTCTTCACGGCAGCACATCTCTTCCCAGACTTCTCCCTTTTACGTGAGCAGCATCCATCATCTATAAATTATCTTTTTGGGAGATGTTTTGGAAGACACAGCTACTATGCCAAATTATCTCCATATGCTTGTCTTTGAATTCCTTTTGGGAATGTATGATGGGCTTGTGTGGTATTTAAGCCTACTCAGATAAGCATGAAATGGATGTGTGGGATAGGGCAGGAAAGAATAATCATCTACTCCGACTGTCTTTAGCTTCTCTCCATGCTGTTGTTCCACCGGCTGCCACCAGGGGGGGGGATGTTTGGGCTAACAGTGGGGGGGACGAAGGGAGGAGGGCATCTGATCAGACATTGTGGCTACGAGTTGAGCCAGGGGTGGTTGAGGCATTCGCCGGCCGAGGCCCTCTTCTCGGGAACCATCTCCAGCATGGGCAGCAGGAACTGGGTGAAGAGGCCGGCGTCTTCGTGCGCCCAGCCGTACTTCTCCACCAGCACGTCAAACAGGGACCAGGGCTTCAGCTTGGTGATGTGCCGCAGCTCGCCTGCAGGGGGCGACAGAGAGCAGAGTCAATGATAGCATGAGGATGTGAGAGATAAAACAGAAGGGCGGAGTTAAAGGTAGGGTAGGTAAGTTTGAGAAACCGGCTCGAGATCGCTAGAATTTGAAAATACACAACCGGAGAAAATCTGCCACTTCCTTACAGAGCCCCTCCTCCAACACACACGAACGCGCACATGACCAATGAGGGCACGAGATAAGTTTGTGCACAGATGGAAGGCTGACAGGCAGGTAGGCCATCCAGTTATTTTAGCCGGGCCGGCTAAAATGATTGGTCGTACTTTTAACAGTATTACGGCTTCCACAGATGACATTTTTTTATGGATTTTTTGTCAAAGCACTTAAGATATTCATTGCTATCGGGATGTTAAGAGCATTCCATGGAATATAACAAAAAGTGTATCTCGAGCCGGTTTCTCAAACTTACCTACCCCACCTTTAAGAGGGTCGGTTCACCAGAATGTAGTTTCTGTTCGAAAACACCAAAAGACTGGTGATAGTACTAAGGTTACTTTTAAGAAGGATCATCCAAAACCTACAATGAATTGTCTGTGGACAACTTGTAATGGATACGATGTTCATTCATTATGCGGAACATGGGCACTGTGGCTTATTTTGTGTAAACACTACATATGCTGGCTGCTGCTGTACAAATACATAGACCTACACATTTGTATAATACACGGCTGAAAATAGTCCCCAACTACTAACTGACTATTTACACCTGTTAAAGTAATGTAAGCTAAAAAAGTACACTTAGGTAAGCCATTTTAGAAATTAAATGTACTATATATATTTTTGTCCCATTAGGCAGTAACAAATAGATTGCCACAGACAGTATTGAGATCAGAAAGGGTTGGTAGACAGACAGGTTTGTTGGTTTTGTTTTGTTTTGTAAAAAGATCAAACACCAGCATTATCATTTTACTTCACTTAGTAATATCTAGCCATGCAGATCGTTTTAGTTTTGACTCTTCACTTAAGATATTTATCTCTGAGATCTCAGCCTCCACCCCAGGACGGTCAAGTAGGACAAAATGTGAAAAAAATCAACAGCAACATCTTTTTACAAAAGTCACACTAATAAAAACAGTGCTCAGTGAAGTATGTACAGATGGTACGGATTTAGGGTGGGAGATACCACTAACTTTAAAATCCAGGGCCAGAATTACAGATATCACCATCAATACCGTTCTATTATTAAAAGCAGCAATTGATTTTTAAGAACGTGAGCTTACATGAGACAGATTGTGTATTTTGGTGTATTTATTCTTAAAAAGCTGCAGGTTGTTACTCTATACAGGACTTGGTCATCTACAGTGACTATGAAACATTTAAAAAAAAGATGTTGCTGTTTAACTTTGTAATTGTTCAATGTTTTGTGCCAATAAACAAAAATATCTGCCCGGCCAGATTCCAAAAAAAAAAGCAATGTTTTGGGGTTATTTGGGTGAACTGAATTCTGCAGGCTCCAGCCAAACACTACAGCAGCTGATTTCCCTGGTATCATTGCCACTGTGAACGTGTGTTACACTGTGAGCTGCTGTAATGATGGGGTTGAGTAACCTGTAGAATTATTGTCTGCAAACCACAAGAACAGAGGGCGACAGGTAGAGAGAGAGAGAAGTGGAGATGTAATGGAAACACACGAGGAGAGGAAGTTGTTCTTTATTAAATAGAGAAAGAAAATGACTGTCTGGGAGCGGATGATTAATGATGGAGGCAAAACACAAGGGTCAGTTCAAACCACAGCTGCCATGGTAACCTCTCCTTCCTATACACTGATTGGAGAACATGAGATGGGAGAAAGGAAACCATTGAGATTCCTTTTATTGTATTGATGAAGTTTTAGTGTCTAAAAGGACGTCTTTTTGCATTATTACAGACATCGACTGTCCCAAATGACTGTGTGTATTTATAATCTTTACACCTGTGTTTTTATGAAAGTGTTCAATTGTTTTGTCTCCCCCATCAATGTGCATGAAGGAAACGCAGCCGCTCGATTGCACCGCCCGTCAGAAAGCAGACAGCAGAAGCCCGGAGAGACAGAGCGGGAAAAGTCAGACCAGATTAACGGAGCGCCAGGGGATAAAAGAGAGAACATTGAGACATCAAGTGCAGGCACAGACCTCAGATAGAGACAACATCAAAGGCAAAATATTCAGGTCTCATGACACGTTATAAAGAATATATGAGCAGAAAGGGAAGGAGATTGGGGGGGAAAAGAGAATAAATGAGAGAGTGCAAAGGGTTATCGGCTGTACCAAACACAGATCCAGACACTTACCGGGCTCATAGAGGAGCAGTCAGAGACATTTAAGACCTGAGGTGCAGTAAAGCCTCACTGTTCTGAGAGTACCACTTTACTGTCATTGTTATTGTAAATCCTGCCATTGTAATCTTATTACTAGAATAGACTACCTTCTTATTTAACCCTAACCCTAACCATTAAGTTATTGATTTACCCTCGAAATATAATCTGTAGAGATGAATTACTTCAAGTGAAATTGGTTGTTTTGATTCTGGTTGTTTCATACATTTATATTTCAAATTAAATCATTATAAAAAGGTATAAACGATCTATGCTGGTTCGTTGAAATCTATATTAAGATAATACATGTCTATAAATGTCAGATTTTTCCTCTGATGGCAGTGAATTAAATGAACCATTTTGTTGCATTCCATAAGTAGAAATCAGTATTACTTTATGAATTATATTTTCTATTGCCGATTGTCCAAAGGCATATTAAAAAATATTATTATACATTTTATTTTATTATGACTATATTATATAGGACCACTTTCCTACTACATATAAGAACAAAATCAGCAAAACCTGGTTTTAGCTTTTTTTTAATAAAGTAATGTAGTCTTTGAATTGCTTTAACAATGAACATGTTTTTGTGTCAAATGTAATTTACTTCAGGCCACAGCAGGTGTGCCTTTATTTATGAATGTGTTTTTATTGACCTATTAAACCATGAAAATGCTGTCTTTCCAGAGAACAAGAAACTACATAAACATGAAGCCTAAAACTCAAATACAATGTGATCATTTCATAATGATGCAATATTAATGGAAATCAATAAAGCTACAATTATTAATGGAATTTTTGCTGTGAGAAAACGATTTGAATTCATTTAGAATACTGTGGCAGTACTACAAACGTAATGACACTAAAAACGTCCCAAAACAGCTACGTGAGGCCTCCCCTGCCCTTCTCCTGACGACCTTTGACCCCGGTGTTGTTTACCTTTCTTGGAGAAAAACTCCCGGCTGAACTTCCCGGCAGCGAACACTTTGCGTGGTACCTTCCCAAGGAGCTCCATGATCAGAGCGATGTGGTCTGCCCACCACCACATACATCACAGAGGGAACAGGCACGATTCAGCATTACAACATGCACACATACACATCAACACGGCGGGCTGTATGGGACCGACACACACTGCTGCCTTGGGGTGCTCCACGGAACACACAGCTACTTTAACCCCTCAAGTGGTGGGGATTTTATGAGATTGTTCCCACTGATTTCAGTCAAAATATTTAATTAAAGGTCCCCTATGATACTGTTTTTCATCAATATATTATAGGTCTCAGATATATACAAAACATGTCTCTGAAGTGTTTGGCTCCAAACACCAAACAGATCATTGCAGCATTACCCATAATCCCCTCTGTTTCAGCCCTGTTTCAAAAGTGCTGATTCTCTGTCTGTTACTTTAGATGAAAATAAGGAGCCCCTCCCCACGCCCCTCTGAGAGATATTTGGTTAAAAAGAACACAATGGTGCTCTAGGAGGAGATTCAGGTGATAAGGTGGGGGGGGGTTACCTTGGTTGGTTATTGGCTAATGGTTACACAAGCCAAAAAATCGTAAAGTGGCCCAAATCTGATCAGCTCATTTTCAGACAGGTTTTTATATAAATGGATCAGGACAAAAAGAGAGGGGGTCTTTCTTCCTGAAACTTTCAGAATGTCTTTACACAGAGGTCCCCTCTATGTAGAAACGACGTGAAAAAGTGGATTTTGCATAATAGGTGACCTTTAATACATCCAGTTATTACCTATCTAATCCACAGCAATATAAGCTTATTTTATGATGGGTTAAGCTAGTGTCCATGTCTGTACGTTTTAGGCCTCTGTGTGTCCCAGTCCCACCAGCTCTCTAGCCAGCGCTACCTCTTCTGTTGAAGAACTCCCGGGAGTATTTTCCGGAGAGCGCAAAGTGCCTCGGAATACAGCCGAGCAGCTCTATGATGTGGGCTATGTGGTCTATAGAGGAGAGAGGGAGGTGGGAGGGAGGGAAAGGGGGAAAGGAAGAAGGACGAAGAAGAAAAAGAGAAAGAAGAAAGACAAGGAAGGGGAAACTTAAATAAAAGAGAAGGAGAGATGAAAGTAAAGAGGGTAGAATGTGGATAGGGAAATAAATCAGGAAGTGACAGATACAAAAGATCATAGAGGGGTTTGGGGAGGAATAAAAAGAGAGGAGAGAGGAAGGAAAAAAGAGAGAGTCACAGACAGTAAAGGAGAAAAACCTGTGTTAGTGAGCTGTGCCTCCACAGCAGAGGTGATGAAATGAAATAATCAGCCTTGGAATAAAAGAGACATGCATGAGATTCAGAGTTGAATGAAGTGAAACCCAGAGCTAGATTTTCTATTTGGCCTCAATGGAGGGAGATGAAAGGTTTGAATCATGATCAATCTGACACTGGCTTATTGCCTGTGCAAAACATGCCAAACGAGGCTAACTGTGAGTCACATGCAATGGGAACGAGCTGGTGAGATCAAAGCTCACAGGAGATAAAGACATGAGGTGAGGATGAGGGTGCATACACAGGGTCTGATTTTCTTTATGAATGAACATGTGACTTCATGCTTCTGTTACTAACTGTCACCGTTTAACTGTTTCTACAAAACAGATCTGGTATGCTACAAAAGTCTATAGATTGAGGACAATGTGTGATGTCTCTATATATCTAAGAAAGGTTGGGTGAAGATGAGTGGAGGCAAAGCAGCAGAATAAAAGGACAGAATTTACAGTTGACAGTGGATAGGGGGATTTGGGGAAAGGGGGTAGCTAAACTAAGCTCATTTTGGCCATTTTGATCAATTTAGACGTTTTTAATTTATAATGAATAAATTAGTATTGGTTTATCACAGTTCTTGGCCATTGTTCAGATGCATTGTTAGAAACAATAGCCACACTTTTATGTGGACGACATGCTGACAAAACCACCACACATGCATGCTTAAAACTGTACAATCTATAAAAGATCTGATTTTGGTGTCTGCACTTGTATTAAGCGTTTTTCAAACTTAATTACAAGTAAATTAAAGTTTAGTGAATGAATTTCAAGCTGTGACTGCATCAGTGCACGTTGTGGCACACTTGGCATCAATGCATCTGAACAATGGATTCAATCGGTAAAGCAAATTGAGATTGAATAGCACACATACACACATTTTATACAAAAATACCTCAAATTAAAGTAAGAACACTTTCAAAAACATTTAGCGACATTTTCCATTAATATTAGCTCGTTTTCATTTAAAAATGCACATATAGAGAATTCAAATGTATTCATAATAAATCTTTAAATACAACTTTCCCCTAGGGAACACTTACGAAAGCATTTTATATTTCTATATTTGTCTGTTTACACCATGAACATTTAAATACTCACCCTCATCACGGGAGTAGTCCTCTCCAGAGTGGGGCTCAAATAAGTAATCTCCAGTGGCCAGCTCAAAAGTCTACAAGAGATCAAATAAAGTATTTTACTCGAGTCTATACTGATATAAAGGAATGTACACCAGTGGCGAACCGTCAGGGCCTTCAAGGTATTCAGAGAATACCCTGGAACACTCAGATAAAACAAACAAAAAATCGATTTAATTATATAAATCAAATGTAATCAAATGTATGTAAAATGAATAAATGAGAATCGTATCTTTGTGGTTGACATTTCAGTGGTTTCAGCAACCAATCAGATTCTGGGTCTCTGGGTAGAATATCCTTCAACCAAGGTATTCTATATCCTTGATAGAATGCCCTGGCCGTTGCACTGAATGAGAGCGTACCTTTGGATTGACAGTTTGATCAACCAATCATATATTGATTTGTAGCCAATGGGCGCATTCTTTCAGAGTTTCCCTCGGTTCCAGGGTCCTCTAGAAGGCCCGGTAGTTCACTGGCTCGAGACAGAAGAGGATCTAGATGAATGCCACGAAGCAATTCATATGCCGTGTTATTGTTTTTAACGTTGAAATGGCAAGTGCAACAGGTGAAGATGATGTTGTATCGGAATTGTTTTGAGTACCCTTTTCAAGACGACAATTCAGTGAAAAGACGGACATTATAACGGCGGGGGGGGGGGGGGGCGCGGCGGCGGAGGGTGTGTGTGTGTCTACAGAAGGTCCAGTTGTGATAGACACGGTTCGCCACTGAGTTACACTGTATGTATCTCCTCACCATGCAGGCAGTGCTCCAGATGTCTGCAGGAGTGCTGTAACCCGCTCCTATCAGGACCTCGATGGAGCGGTACTGTCTCGTCTGGATGTCCTCTGTGAAGTGCTTGTGCTGTGAAGGGAAAACAAACCTTACAGAGGGGTTCTGCATCTTAACCCCTTATAGTGCTTCTATAACAACATTTATGTTTTGAATGCAAAATTAACAACAATGACTCTTGCTGCCCCCTAGTGTCTTGTTAATTTATGGGAAGCCACCTTTTTATAGACATAGTCAAAGTTCAATAACAATCTGTGATTCTAGTGTGTATACTGTTTGATTGCAATTGTAATGGTTCATAAGATCAGCCCTCTAAAGAAAACTCCTCAATGCAAATAATAATTGTTCAAAACATGCCAAAGCTACCATTTCAAACTCCTCGAAACAAACTTTTCCAACTGGATTTTGTCAAGCTTGAATGTCAATATTTATAATATACAATCAAAATAATTGTACCACTGTGCTGCTGCTTTGACAGTACGTAAAAATGCTTCAAATACAGTGCATTCAATCCAGTTATATATATATCAATTTCAAGACAGTCTTACCACCCAGCAGGCGTTTCCAAGATCAGCAATTTTGACTCGAATAGTCTCAGAGTTGCGCGGGTCCAGAGGGTTGATCAGCAGATCTGCAGCTCGGGCTTTAACTGGGAGGAGGTGGAGGAAAAGAACAGGGTTAACACACACATTCAGCAAAGATAAAAAGTAATAATTGACATTTATGAAAGATCAGAGGCGCTATGGCTTTTTTCAACAATAAATCCAATCCTGGCATAGTCGTGATGACATATGTATAGTGTTGTTTCACTGGCTTTATGTGGTGTTTGCACAACTATTTGTGTTTAAAATCCCTATGAGGCTCTGGAGATGTGATCCTAAAAGTGACCCTAGAGCTAGAAAGAGTGTCAAAGTGTAATGATACTAATATGAATGGTGTGGGTGGATGAGTAATGGTGGTGATGAGTCATTAATAATACCCAGAGGACATATGTGCATGACTCTGAAACATAATAATGAGCCACTGGATTCTCTTCTTAGGCAGCTATAATGCAAAAAAAGCATTGATGGTTATTTATTTTCCGCTGATTCGTCACCTTTCCGAAGATCTTTACATGCAGATTTAAATTTAAATAACCTTTGCAAAGTAGACCTTGGCAAGAAGAAAGCAGAATTGAGGCGGTATTGGTAGATCATGTATGGTGCAGTAGGTTGTTTTATTTATACTTTTATACATTTTAGCATGTTTTGTTGACCTTGTCCTGGCTGGTTTTCTTTCTGTGCATGCTGCTCGGGACGTATGTGCCGTACAAGCGTACACAGCTCATGTTCGGAGAAACCTTAAAGAAAGGCATCAGTAAAGTGGAAAAGTGTGAACTATTCATATCTTAAACTGCACTGTAACTTTTTATTCATGTATCTTTTCTTTTAATGTTTATTTTATTATCTTTGATTTTAATGACTGTTTTTAAATGCCTTTTTCTGAATGTCTTTCATTTTTGTAAAGCACCTTGAATTGCCTTGTGTTGAAAGGTGCTGTATAAATAAACTTGCCTTGCCTTGTTGTGTGTCACTCAATACATGAATCCACTAACTGCAAATAACTGTATATATTATAACTCTAATAACTTTAATAAATATAAGTCGAAGAGCCCCAGTCAAACTCTAGTTTATTACTCAAAGAGTGGGATTACAATTGCCTCCATTTTAACATTTTGAATGGGATTGGACTCTCTCTTTCTCTTACACGTTATATATGTCTTAATGTGATAATTGTGTCAAAAATGTAAAAAAAATAACTCTCTGCCTTTTTATATTACGGGTTGCTCTTTTTTGTGGTCTCCATAGTTACAAGAGACATTTTCAAGAACAGTTTAACAACTTAACCCCTGCCTGTGTAGTCACCCACGAACTCTGTGTAATGTACAATGAATGAACGCCCCATATTACATTTAAAGGTAGGGTAGGTAAGAATGGAGAAACCAGCTCGAGTGCGCTAGAATTTGAAAGTACCCAACCGGAAAAAATCTGCCCCTTCCTTCAGACTTCCTTACAGAGCCCCTCCTCCAACACACACGAACGCGCACATGACCAATGAGGGCACGAGATAAGTTTGTGCACGAGATGGAAGGCTGACAGGCAGGTAGGCCATCCAGTTATTTTAGCCGGGCCGGCTCAGATGATTGGTCGTGCTTTTTACAGTGCCACGGCTTCCACAGATGAATTTTTTTAATGTATTTATTGTCAAAGCATTTAATATATTCATTGCTATCAGGATGTTAAGAGCATTCCATGGAATATAAGAAGTGTTTCTGAAGTGAATTACCTACCCCACTGCTTAAGGAGCACAAAACTTAACAGGTTTTATCTCCTAAATATTAAACACTTTAAAGTTTAGAGTTCCTAAATAGATTTCTTATATTAGTAAATCAGTAATTGTAAATGTGTGAAAATGTAGATCTCTGTGTGTGTGAATCAGTGAATATAATAAACCGTCTCACCCTTGGGAGTATCTCCCGTGCTGGAGGAGGACACAGTGCGACTGCGGTCAGCCGTGGGGCTGTTGGGGGACGGGCCCGCTCCGATATCCACCATTCCCACAGAAATGGGGTTTCCCGGCAGAGGATCCAGGGGCAGTTCGGGGAAGAGAGGGATGATGGGCGGAAGGCGGATGCTGCCTCCGTTGGTCAGCCCCGGCTCGCCCAGGTCTCCGTTGTACAGCTCGTACCCGGAGCTGAGAGAGTGGTCCCGGTCTGTGTAGCTGAGCTCCGACTCCACCAGGGGGCAGAGGAGGGTCTCGGCGGTGGAGGAGGGGCGGGGCGGAGGATTGTCAGGGTTCGGTTTCCGTCCCTCGGATCCCAACGAAACGTGACCGTTGGTTTTGGCCAGATTGCTCTTGTTGTTCTGGGGTTTCATGGGCGAGGTGGATTCTGTGAGGAGTTCCGTGGTCGTGTCGTCGTCCTCGTCATCCTCATCCTCATCTTCGTCCTCATCTTCGTCCTCCTCATCCTCCCCCTCCTTCTCCTTTGACTCCTCTTCCTCTACAGCTGCCTCCTCATCCTCTGTTTTGCTCTCACTCTTTGGCTCCTCTGTTTTGCTTTCCTCCTTTTCAGTCTTTTCCTCCTCGTCCTCGTCCTCTTCCTCTTCCTCCTCCTCCTCCTCCTCCTCCTCCTCCTCGTCCTCCTCTTCCTCCTCCTCTACCTTGCCCTCCACCTCCTCTTCCTCATTCTCGGCTCCTTTTAACCCTTCCTCCTCCCCCGCATCCTCCTCTTCCTCCTCCTCGCCATCCTCCTCTACCTCTGCTTTGGTGGAATTTCCATTACCCTCATTCGTGTTGGGGAGAGTGGCATCATCTTTTTCAGCGACAGGCGTGGACTCCTCCTCCTCCTCCTCCTCCTCCTCTTCCTCCTCGTCATCCTCGTCTTCCTCATCCACCTCCTCATCCGGGTCATCTTCGTTGATGTGGAGCTCCTCGTTCTGCTCCTGGGGAGGCGCCGCACCTTAAATGGAAGGAGCAGAGGAAATACTGTTAAAAGAGGAAGTGAGTGAGTGGGAAGGAGATAGAGACGCAATCAAAGACCAGGAGACTGGAGAGGAGGCACAAGAGATACAAAGGAGAAGAAAAGAAGCAGAAGGTGAGGAGACAGAAGGTGGAGGAGAAAGACGGAGTTTCTATTTTTCTTTCTTGTGAATCAACCTTGAGCCGCGTTCACACCGGAGTACTTTTCCCCGTACTTTTCGCATTTAGTTCCGTTAGTACCCCTTATGTCGCGTTCACACCAAAAAGAGTACTTAGTGCTGGGAACTTTTACCCCCATTTTTAGTGCCTGCTGAGAGCAGGTACTCTCCTGGGGGAAAAAGTGCCCCAGTTCTGATTGGCTGGGCGAATTGCAAACCACGCCCCGTAAAACTCTGAAATGTTTTGTAGAGCCGCCATTTTATTATCCTCGCATTAGCATTATTAGCATTAGCATTCGCCCAGCGCACAAACGCAGAGAGACTAACTTATGGCAACACAAAATAAAACATGGGAGCGGTGGAGATGAGGAGGTGTCGGCGTTCTGGCGATTTACTCGGAAGGCTTCAGTAGAAGCTGCTGGGAGTCCCAGCAGCTTCTACTGAAGCCAGTCCCCAACTCCGGGGACTTCCGGCCGGGGACTCCGGGTGGCAGTATACGCCGTGAAGTTGTTTGCGGCCTGCCAGTAAACCCAAAGCAGAAGAAGACGAAGTGACGTCAGCGGCTCATTTGCGTAATCTTCCCTCAGGGACTTATTCCGGTGTGAACGCGATCTGTACTAAGTGCCCTGGGGTAATAAGTGCCGGGGCACTAAGTACGGCAAAGTACTTGGTGTGAACGCGGCTTGTCTCCTATACACAGTGGGACTAGCGTGGGCAGAGTGGTTGGAGCCAATCCACCTCCTAGTCATTCACTGACAGACGGCATGGAACTACACACTCACACACTCACTCAAGCTGAAGATATACTCGCTTTAGAAAAATCACCTTTCAAGTCGTTGACAACCAGAGTAGAGTAAAGAGAGCAGCCTAAGCTACACACAGGATGTATCTCACTTTCACTTCACAGTGGATCGCACACAAAGAAAGAGAGGATTGCACACCACACCGTTTACAGTAAAGAACTAAACAAACTGGTGCCTTCAAAAGGATGCTAATTAGAATAAGCTTAGATTCCTATAAGGAGAGAAGAATCAAAAAGATACATACTGTTTGAATATGAAGTAAAGCCATGCAATGCTAATAAAGACTATGCATGTCATTTGTTTCTATAATGAAACTAAGCATGAGTTTAAGAATAGAATCAATGTGTTTGGGTGATTAAGACTCATTTCAAAAAGAACGTTTGTTTGCAAAAAAGAAAACAATTTTGATCACTAGACCACCCGGACTGCCCTAAAATACATATTTAACCAATATCAAATCACATGCAATATACGCCATTTATCATTTTAAAGGGGCCCTATTATGCTTTGCATAATAATGCTTTGTAACACTCGCGCTTCTATTGGCTAGCGCTCCAACACATTGTACGTGATAGGCTAAGGGGCGGGACATCTCTAAGTGGTTGACCGATCACAACAGAGCCGGCCAGCTAACCAATCAGAGCAGACTGGGCTCTGGTTTCAGACAGAGGGTGAAAAGAGGTGCTGCAGCACAGGCAGTATGAGAACAATAAAGAGCTTTTTGAACATTAAAGCATGTAAACATGTCACAGTAGAGACACTACATACAAATATATGCCTGAAAGTGTGCATAAAAGAGCCCCTTTAAAGAAAGACAGCATTTTGAACACACTTTAATTAAGTGATTTATTAATCCAGCCGTTAACAGAAACACTAAACCTGGGAACACTTGAAAGTACTCACATGTATGATTGGTCAATCTCATTGGCCTGTCCTTCTCCCTCTCTCTCTCCCTCTCCCTCTCTCCCACCTCCTCCTCCTCCTCATCCTCCCCGTCCTCCTCATCATCATCGTCATCGTCGCTCTCTCCCAGAGCCATGCTGGGGCCCAGCTGCGGTTGAGAGGGACGAGGGGTGTGTTCGTGTTCCCCTTTCTCTCCCCCGTCTTTGGATCTCTCCTCCTTCTTCTCGGCCTCTCTCTCCAGCGCTTCGATCTCCAGCATCCGCCTCTCCAGCAGCTCCGCCTGCCGCTTCTGCTTCTTCTTCAGCTTCTTCTTCTTGTTCTTGGAGATCTTTCCCACCTGGGAGGAAAACAGAACAGACAGGAGAGGAAGAGGAAGAGGGAGAGGGAGAGTCACAAAGGGAGGCATGACGGGGAATAACAAGTATTGATATTTATTTGAACTGTGTGTTATGATTTGTGAGTGCACTAAAAGTTCCATTGTATGTTTATAACATTAAATATAAGTACATTTGAAATATCCTATCACCACTGTCTTACGGTTTGAGAAAATAATACAACCTTTTAAAGACTCTGAATTAAAGGTGGGGTAGGTAAGTTTGAGAAACCGGCTCGAGATACACTTTTTGTTATATTCCATGGAATGCTCTTAACATCCCGATAGCAATGAATATCTTAAGTGCTTTGACAAAAAATCCATAAAAAAATTTCATCTGTGGAAGCCGTAATACTGTAAAAAGTACGACCTGGATGGCCTACCTGCCTGTCAGTCTTCCATCTGTGCACAAACTTATCTGGTGCCCTCATTGGTCATGTGCACGTTCGTGTGTGTTGGAGGAGGGGCTCTGTAAGGAAGTGGCAGATTTTCTCCGGTTGTGTATTTTCAAATTCTAGCGATCTCAAGCCGGTTTCTCAAACTTACCTACCCTACCTTTAAGCAGTCACCAAAAAAATAAATAATAAATTAATGTTTTTGGAGATACATGGTTTTCACAGGACAGCACCAAAATCTTCTTATACTGTATGATACAATCACTTATTTTCAAGTTCCTCTGATGGGGCAGGCATTTAAAACTAATTAATAGCTTAACTGCATCTAGTGAGGTATTTTCGAAAGTCTGACATTGCTGCAAACCCATTAATCGGGGAATTATTAAACTAACATTGTTGCTAAAGTAGTGGTAGAAGTTTAAAATAACTGTTGTGAGAAATGTTGAGGATTGCCTACAGATATTGTGTTGCACCGAGTACCCTCAAAGGCCCTCTAGCATCAGAGAAACAACACCAAACAGTGTTTAATGCTGTATGTGCCTGACTGTTTGAGTGTGTGTTTGTGTTTGAGTGTGTGTGCGTTCCTATTGTTTTATACTTACATCTGTTGTATTCACCGGTTTGATCTGCGGGGCTGTGCTAACTGACAGGCATAAAGGAAAACCACAGTCAGAGGCTTCAAAGTTTCATGAACATCAATTCGCCACACAACCAAGTTCACACCGAGTTCAATACTCCACTCTCCGGGAAGAGAGAGTTAGGTTTGTTGCCTTTTATAGACCTCATACGTACAGAATCTGTAGGTGAAGTGAGAGATGTGCACAAAAACGAAGAAATAGATCCTCCAGAATCCAACAGAATTAATTCATTGTCCCAGATGTCTGTAATATGAATGGTTTATTATTTTTAAGCCTGAGAATGTGGTAAACTATTCTCACCTCAATGATCTAACACCAATGAATGTTATTTTTAAATATTCTTAGGGATAACGCCAATTTCGAAGATGGTTTCAAATTGAATATCATCAATCAAATGTACATTGATGTTCTCCTAATGTGAACACTCAACAGCAAAGTGGGGCACAACACAATAATTTAAGAATGGACTGAACCATTTTAATGTTATTGATTAAAAGGTGTGTTGCTTAGCTGTTCAGGAAGTATACTTATATATCAACCACCAAAAATAAATGCTAAATAAACTGAAAACTAGTTACTGCCATTTTCCTCCTCCATACCTACTTTTCTGAGACATCCCAAATGAATCTCGCATTTATAAAATAAATGTAGCTAGAATAAACATTTCTACACTTTTCTAAATGACGGTAAATGATTTGATTTAATTTGTCTCTTCAGTCAGAGGCAGTTTGTGTTACCATAAGCTCCTGTGTTTTGACAGTTGATGGTTATGCGCCCCACTTTAATTGTGAATAAATGTAAGCAGTATAATTGGTTACCCTAAGGCTCAGAGAGACTCCGAAGGATGATGAAAGCAATTGACAGCTTATGGGGGGGGGGGGGGGGGGGTTCACCGGGAGGACAGGGTTCATGTAGAGTTTGTAGAGACTGTTATCTTTTTTAGGACTGGATTTTTCGTTCAGTAGAGGAACTTGGGGAACTTGGTGCCGGGAGATGAAAAAGCAAAAAATATCTCTGTTTGGAAACTGAGGAGGTAAAAAAAGCTTCTCTGTGAACCCTTTTTTCTTTACTGAACACTTATTCCATATTCAACTTGGAAGATTTTTCTTCACTATAAATATCACACCAACATATTTTTCTACATTATTTGCCATACGTGTTTTTTCGCACCAATCCCAAATTAGCTTACATGTTCTGAATTATTCCCCTTTGTCCTAAAAACTAAAATGTCTATGAAGAAGCTACACGTCTTGCACAAATAAAACACTAAACCAACCGATCCTATGCTTCGGCCAAAGTTCGATGTACTCTAAAAAGTTTTCTCTTTTAATGTACCAAAGTGAAACAATGCTAACTTAGTAGCAACGTTTGAGGGAAAAATCTGTATGTTAAAACATTAAGAAATATGAATGAAAGATATGCTTAGAGTTAGAATATCGACCTCTCTTACGTCTGTACACCAAATACTGTAAGCAGCCAGTTAGCTTAGCTTAGCATGAAGACTGGAAACAATGGGAAAAAGCTAGCATGTCTAGCCACTTCAAAACTAACTCCGCATAAAGGAACACTTCGGAAATGTTGCACTGTTTTCTATTAAAAACAGACTGTGTGTGAGTGTGTGTGCGTCTACCTGCTGATCCGGAGGGTGGGGGGGGCTCCAGCTTTCTGCCATTCGGTGGCCTCCATGGCCATACGCCTAACAAAAGCATCGTCTACACACATCAGGATGTTCTCTGGCTTGATGTCCGTGTGGATGATTTTACATTTGGTGTGGAGGTAGTCCAGACCCTGCAGGACCTACACACACATTCCGATAAACAGACACAGATTGTATCAGCGAGAAACATGCTCACACATCTTGTTTAGGCATTATTACACTCTGCAGACAAGGCCTCAACACTGTTCAGCGCTTTCCTTTTTTTCATCTATCTCCCTTTCATTCATTTTCTCTTCTTCAGAGCCAGATTATCCATTCTCCTAATGCTGGTCATCCTCTGAGGGCAGAGACGAGAGGCTGTTGATGTTTCTGCTTCACTGTTTCATTTGATGCTGTCCAGAGGCTTTGAGATGGAAGCGGGGAACAGTCTCATTTATTTTCTACTCATCTCCCGTTTGGCTGTCGAGTGGCTGGCAGCGGCTGAATCGGATCAACAACTCCCCATCCTCATCAGGTTGCCGAGGGGAAAATGCCTCAAAGAGCTGCGTCTTATGAAGGCAGCGGTACTGGAGTGTGAAGTGCACAATGGAATGTATTATTACGAGTAATGGGTGTGAATTTTGCCTCTTGTTTTTATTATACATATATTTACACCATGTGTCTTTCTTCCCTCTCAAATCAGTCTTTCATAGTCTGTGAATAAGATCTTGACCTTCTTCTCGCGATGAATTCCAAATGAAAATACTGTAAGTTTCCGTACTATAAAACACATGTATCATGATACACAAATGCAAATGTTGTCTAATTGAAAAGTACCACAGCTTCACAGAATAATTCTGCCAACTATAAAAGTGTAGCTACTAGCCTGGCATCTTTCTTCTTAAAGAGAATCTAACTCAATCCATTTGTAAAACAACACGATTTCTCATCAGTTATGTCAAATGACTCATTGGATTGCTTCCTATGTTTTAATTTGTTGTCATATTGTGAAAGACGCATTTGAACCACCAGTGCAGACTGCCGACAACCCACCACCGAAAGAAAAGAGGAAAAAAACTGTCAGCAGACAGTATCATGAAAGTTACCTGTCTTATGGCACTGCAGGTGAGCGGCAGATTTTCCCTACAAATAGACGAATCTACTGACATAAGTGGGGCTGCCCAACTTCTGGCAAACGTCAGATATGTTGATGCTGACTCTATCAAAGAGACGTTTTTCTTTTGCAAAGAAATGGAAAGCCATACTACGGGAGAATAAATATTCAGGGTAACTAATAACTATTTAAAAGAGAACAGTCTGACCTGGAATATGTGCGTCAGTCTTTGCACAGCATGACGGGGAGAGTGAAAGGATTTATTGCTAAGGTGAGAGCACAAAACCCACATATCGTGACAAACCACTGCATTTTGCATAGAGAGGCATTAGTTGCCAAAACCATGCCCCCGGAGTTGACTGAGGTGCTGAATCAGGCTGTGCAGATGGTGAATTACATCAAATCAAGGCCCCTGAAATCTCGCCTCTTCTCCCAGCTGTGCGCCGAGATGGGAGCCGACCACCAAAGCCTGATCCTCCACAATTTTTAATTTTGTGACCTGTCTGGTTTAAATGAGTGTGTTGCTGCTTTGATGAAGCCTAATTTGATAAAGTTTCAAATTAATTTCTGAAATATTTCGTTAATAAATATTTCATGAGTAATATAGTTGTCTTTGTCACATTTTATTTGGCATTAGTAAATAATTATGCACATTTACAGATATTTTACATGATATGAGTGATAACACGTGTTATAAGGTTATTTCGCACAATAGGTGTGCCTTGAGATTTTTACTTGTCCTTTGGTGTGGGGCACAAAAAGTTTGGGAACCACTGGTATACTGTATACTGTGTGTGTGTGTGTGTGTGTGTGTGTGTGTGTGTGTGTGTGTGTGTGTGTGTGTGTGTGTGTGTGTGTGTGTGTGTGTGTGTGTCTCCTTACCTGTTTGATAATGCTCTTGACACATGGCAGCGGCAGACCTTGGTAGTTGGATTTAATAATCCACTTCAGCAGGTGGTGACCTAGCACCTCAAACACCATACACACATCTGGGATGGTCAGTCAAGGACTAACACTACTATATCTTTGTCACGAGCACACACACACACACATACTACGAGCACACACTCTTCTGATTGGGATACGTATGCCGTTGACTCCAGAGATCTTGAAGTCATCTATCAGCTGCACCACCATGTCCTTGTTGGGGTCTGCGGGGTCGCTCTCCCTCACCTGGGGGACAAGAGGACAACGAGATGAAGCAAACATGACAGGAAGAGGGAAGAGAAGATGGTATAAAAACAAAGAACTCTGAAGGAAAAAGGACAGAGAGAGAGTAAATGAAACTAACTTCATAATGCTGCTACTTATTAAAAAATGTCTTACTACTGTATGCATGAGTACTTATTGATTTTATTAAAGTGCGTTTACTTAAAACCTAGTATGTTAAAGGTGGGGTAGGTAATTTGAGAAACCAGCTTGAGTGCGCTAGAATTTGAAAATACACAGCCGGATGAAATCTGCCACTTCCTTACAGAGCCCCTCCTCCAACACACACGAACGCGCACATGACCAATGAGGGCACCAGATAAGTTTGTGCACAGATGGAAGGCTGACAGGCAGGTAGGCCATCCAGTTATTTTAGCCGGGCCGGCTAAAATGATTGGTCGTACTTTTTACAGTACTACGGCTTCCACAGATGACATTTATTTATGGATTTTTTGTCAAAGCACTTAAGATATTCATTGCTATCGGGATGTTAAGAGCATTCCATGGAATATAACAAAAAGTGTATCTCGAGCCGGTTTCTCAAAACTTACCTACCCCACCTTTAAGTATACTTGAATTTGCCTTTTTGTCTGCACTGACTCATAAAGGGTTTCTGATTGTGATTCTGTTTCTGATTCTAAAAGATAAAAAAAGAAAGAAAGGGGGATTTGGATGGATGAAGGAGAATAGGAAAGGGAAGAGAGGAAAAGAAGAGGCGAGGGATATGAGAGATAAAGATGCTGAAAAATGGACTGTCACTGTCCTCTGCACCCAGCATGAAAGATAAATGACCAGCGTATCTTTAGTGTTTCTTGTTACCAGAGTAGAGGAGGTGCGAGGTGCGAATGTCAAGAGAGAGGAAAAGAGGAGGGAAGGGATTTATAAGAAGATGAAAAACTGGAGTAGAAAAAGTTTCCTAAGAAGAGTCCAAACAAAAGACACAAATATGAACAAACAAAAGAACAAAGGGAGATGAAAGAGGAAGGTTCCCAAACACTTTAATGTCAAATTGCTCAGATCCTCACACATCGCAGCAGTTTAATCTCATCCAGGGCCGTCTCTGTGTAATGCTGCGCGCTCTTCACCACCTTCATCGCCACAAAGTTCTTCACTCTGTAATGACAAACACAGAAACATGCACTCATTTTCATACCTATTAAGCCAATAATGCTGATTAATGCATCGTATAAATATCAGTGAGCAATATTATGATGTCTTTTTACACATCTTTGAGCCATTGTTCACACGACCCACATTATAATTGCAAATGTGGCATTTTGTAACTTAAATAACATTAATACTAATGAGAGACGTCAATCAAATCTCTTCTCCAGCACACCATGCTTTATTCACCACATGTTTGCAGCTATCAGGACCGTTTGAGCTTCCTTACACCAGTCACGTGACCTATTGTACAGATCACCATGGATACCAAGTATATAAAACATTATCACCTTTTTTGAAAAGCAAAATATTCGATTTAATCTGAGTGGATACAAGATTACACCCGCACAAGACTATTAATACAAATAAATAACACATATTGATATATTCAACTTTAAAGGCTATCTGTGATAACTGATATTTATTTTGCCCACTTGGGTACGGTGGCCGACAGGTGCAAACGCGCTACAGCGGCCCAAAACATTTCAAATATGAAAAATGCGTTCCAGCTTCAGAAACGATGCCAAAACACATGCGAACTAAGAAACATCTTCACCAACTTGACAACACATGCACAGCCTTTACAAAAAGCGCTGCATACACTACTAGACACTGCAATCACAAAACGCTGCTAAAGAAACACGTTGTTATCCCCGAACGTAAACAAGCGTTCTTGTCCAGGTCCCACCTGTGTGCATCACTTTTAATGTCCCCAGGTTTCCGTTGTGTTTTAAGCTTCTTGCGGCGTCTTTTTATTTGGAGCCTTTTGTGTTTGCATCGTTTTGTTTATGTAGCGCTTTTTTCTAAACGCTGCGCATGTTTTGTCAAGTTGGTGGAGATGTATTCTTCATTTTGCATGTGTTTTGCATCGTTTCTTAAGCACTTTTCTCCTAATGGAAATGTATTGGGCCGTTGTAGCGTATTGGCACCTGTCGGCCGCCGTACTTTGGGGCCACCAAACAAATACATATCCAATATTAACTCTCTTTCAACTCCCATCTGATTAGTTAGCTGCTAAATGCTCCACTATGTTTAGAAGTTACACTCTAACTGTGTTCATCTGCTATACTGGTGCTGAACAGAGAGTGTACTGTCACACAGATAACTGCTGTGGTCGACAACGACGCTATGAGAAGGGCGAGATTACACCAAAACTGTAAAGTTGTAGACACACTGAATATAACCTTTGTCAAGGACTGACTCACTGTATCGTGTGTGTGAAGTAACTTAACTCCAAGTCACTACTTTATGACCACCATTAGTGTAATTAACAGTAGTGACATGGGTAAATGAGTTTGTGTGTATGTGTGTATGTGTGTATGTGTGTATGTGTGTATGTGTGTATATGTGTGTGTGTGTGTGTGTGTGTGTGTGTGTGTGTGTGTGTGTGTGTGTGTGTGTGTGTGTGTACATGTACATGTGTGTGTGTGTGTGCATGTGTGCATGTGTGTCAGGGAAACGTGACACTGGGTTGATGATACTGTCATCAATCCACCCCGGTTGCTACGTGAAGACATAAGAAACAACATTATAGTGCAAATGAATATCTTTGGTGTCTGCGCACGATGGTGTTGGTTGCAACCGTCGTCTTGGTAAGGTGCCAGCTCGTGTCAACAGGTGCATGTGTGGCGTGTGTGAGGTTTACAGTATATGTGTGTGTATGAGAGAGAGATCAAGGTGAAGTGAAGGACTGTGGGAAGAGCCTGTGTGCATATGTGGGTGTGTGTGACAGGGTGTGTTGAGGGCTTTTTCTGGGTCATGACGTGTGTGTGCGTGTGCGTGTGCGTGTGTGTGCGTGTGTGTGTGCGTGTGTGTGTGACTCACTGTATATCCCAGCATAGCCATACGGTGGAGAAGTGGCCCCACCCCAATTTCCTGATCACATGGTACCTCCCGTTGAACAAATCCCCGATCTTCACCGGATGGTACCCTCCTGAGAGAGATGATGAGAGAGAGGAGGAAGGTTACAGGCGACTGTTAGAGATAACCAGTCAGTGACATGAAATCCATTAGTGAGTAAGAAGTGGAGGGAGGTCAAACTGATAGAAAATGAGATGGGAGAGAAGTGTTTTGGATTAATTAACAGAAAAGAGCAGGAGTCATTTGAAGGTGTGACCTTGAGATAGATTTTTTTCCGTTCAAACATTCGATAGCCAAAACAGTTAATAGATTACTAAGTTAAGTACAAAATAAAGGTTGGATGGATATCTATTAAACAAGCCTTAGTAAGCATTGTGCATTACTAAGTATTGTTAAGAATTGTCTTCAATAAATGTAAAAATACAGCAATACACATTTTTAGCAGATGTGGCGCCGCAGGAATTCATATTTATTTTATATTAGTTATATATACAATATTACAAACAATTCAAGGTACCTTTCATAAGAGACTAGAATCACAGGGTTAATCAAAGGAATGCAAGAACAATAACTATTTGTGTCTGTTATCTTTAGGTTTGTGTACAAAAAAGGTGGCGCATACAGTATACTGTAAGGAGGGTAAACAAAAATGAATTCAGTCATTCTTTCTGTTTACCTCGATGAGACATCAAAACCCTCTTTGTTGTGTTTACAATGACACCACCAGCTGGCAGAGAGCAAGGTCCTGCTTGCCAGGGTAACATTTGTTGTAGGTGTCTCTTATTGAACTCAAACTTGGTGAGTAGTGTACTTTTGAATAAAATAGCAAGAAGGTAGGAGAGGCCAAAATGTGTAGACAGAACAGTACCACGATGAATACTACTATTGCTACTACTGATCATAATAATATAATACTATACGATATATGGACCTCTCCTAAAGAGGTACAACATGCATTATATGGCATTTAAACGGACAAACAGACTCAAAAACAGTTTCTACCCCTGGGCCGTCAGGCTGCTTAACCACCACACATAATACAATAACCGTAACCATTCTCACACATACACACACTTTTAATGCACTTTATATACTATTTTTATACTATTTGTATATCAATATTTTTAACTATTTATTCCCCTGCATGATTGTTTATGTTGTCTGTCCTATTGCCGTGTTTTTTAGTGTTATGTATGTGTTTGTATTTTTTGCACACCGGGACAGAGTTGCACTCTGAATCTCGTTATACTCTGTGTGTAATGACAATAAAAGGCTTAAACTTTAACTTAACTTTAAAATGTTCAGAAATAAATAATAAGGCCAAAACATAAAGGGCTGTGTGAGGAAAGTCACTTTGTTTTGACAGAAAACCAGTGAAAGTTAGTCTTTCATCTTACTGAAGTGAGATCAGACAGTCTGGCTTCAAAAACAACCTCGTACAAATCAAGAGTTTTCCTCCAAAGCTTCATGATACATCAAGGTATATTATGCCTAAAGGAAATCATGGCATATTCAGGTTTCAGCTCAGTAAAATATGCTATTTTTTCCAAAGGATATCAAATGATAAGTGTAATGGCCACAGTGTTTACAGAAAGGGCGCAGCATTTTGAAACAGAGCAGTGTATTGAAAATGAACCTCTTAGCAGACAGAATAGCTTTTGGCATCCTGAGACACAGCAGGGAGCCAGCCTATCAGATCTAAACAACCTTGAAATGCCAGTGTCACAACTACTAAGCGCCGCACACTGATGGCTACACCAACACTGCTGCAGAGCCATCAAGAAGGTAGGAGGAATGAAGAAAAGCATCACATAAGCAGAGAGAGGAGACGGTGTGAGACCTTCTTAAAATATGTAAGACATATGTAGAGTGTGGAAGTAATGGGATGGGGCTGATGATTTTCAGCGGTGGAGAGTACTTATGTAAATGTTCTCAAGTACTGTTCTTTAATAAAACTTGGAGGTACTTTACTTCCATTTTATGCTTCTTTATATCGCTATTCTACAAAAAAATGTTTAGCAAATATTGCAGTTTTTACTGTATATCAGTACAGATTAAAGATTCAGATATTTGCCAACACAAAATAGAACTAATAAATAAACTATGATATATTAATATGGGTTAGGTTATCCAGCAGCAGTATATAAAGTCATTAAGATAAGCTCCACATTTACTTGCTCTGATGAAAACACTAATGCTTCATATTCAATTCATTTATTAAATGTAATTCTGAAATTGACTTTGTTGCACAATAAGTATTTTAATTTGCAGCTCGTTAAGTATGTTTGGATGCCAATACTTTGCACTATTACTTAAGTAATATTTTGAATACAGGACAGAGCCGTATTATAATTCAGTATTGCCACATTTAATAAAATCTGAGTACTTCCTCCACCACTGATGATTTGAGTGTGTGCGTGTGTGTGTGCGTGTGCGTGTGCGTGTGCGTGTGAGTGTGAGTGTGAGTGTGAGTGTGAGTGTGCGTGTGCGTGTGTGCATGTGTTTTGTTCTGACCTTTGCAGTAGTCTGCGGGGTCCTCCTGCTCCTCATCATCGGAGCCCAGGATCTCCTCCTCCGGCTCCGGGGGCCCTGCCGGCTCGGGGGGAGGCGGAGGGGGAGGTGGGGGAGGGGGGGCAGTCACCGGGGCTTTCTGCTGCGTCTCAGGCCTGCAAACACAGCAGAGGAGAGGCAGTTAGGTAACCTTTCAGCACACTTTTTACAGGAAACAAACTCCCAGTATGAACATTTTTGGTATCTTTGGGTTGTGATTCAGAGCGAGGGCAACTTCAGACTGAGCTTTAGGTGCCGATGACTAATGACTAAATAATAACTTGCTTCTGACTGGCATCATTCAAAAGTGAATCATCCAGCTAATACAAAAGCAAAGAAAACTTTTATATTTGCTTTTCTAAAGATATTTGGACAGAAAAATAGCTCAGGAAGAGATGTTTTATACGTCCAATTTTGGAATAAATAAAAAGTCCAAGTTGAAGAAGAAAGACATCACAACACCAGAAACTTTACGTGATTCCAATACAATAAAACCATTTTTCGGCTGCGTAGTTTCAAATTCTAGCGCACTCGAGCTTGTTTCTACATTCTTACCTACCCTACCTTTAAAAGATGTATATACTCTCAAGACATTTAGATCCAATGCTAAGACAGACATTCAACTTGTGTTATTACTGATAAAGATTTCTGAAAATGAGATATGCATTAAATTGTGATTGAATGGAACAACCATAAACGTTAATACTGAACTGTTGCCCTGTCTAAACCATAACAGGCGTTGCTTGATGGGCTCATATTGTTTGTGGCTCACAGACAGTCAGGTTGAACCGATCAACACCCACCACGCACTTCAGACATGAATCACCAGAAAAACTGGAATTCATCCAAAAACATTTTCTCCTTAAATTCCTGAATAATGTAGTATTACCGGTATGTAGCAGCCGCAGGTATTCTTAAAATGTATGAGGTGATAAATGACATTGACGCCATCATAAATGATATAATGACACATCGATAGATTAGACTTGATAAGACAAAGTTGATCTCCACAGTCTTAAGCCTTGTTCCACTTCCTTTAGCTGGTCTAAAATGGAACTGAGCCCATGAGAGTGAACATAAATTAGGCTGCAGAGCACAGGCTGCCTCTTTCCCCAGGCCCGGCTACTTTTTGGGCATTTATCCAGGTCGACTTACAATGATTGATCAGGCAGGGGTTCAGGGTTTTGCTTTAGGAAATAGCTATTTGTAGGTTTCGGGAACATGCCTGTAAAGTTCCTGTTTGTTTCCCACCAAACCTGCCAGTGTGCTCATTTGTAAAGACACTGCAAACTATGGGTCCTTATTTGTCAAATGAAATACTGCCTTAAGGTTTATTGCAATCTTTCATTTGAATGAAACTACTGTTTACTACTGTTCATGGATGCATTGTTGCAGTTGCAGCGTTTCCAAAGTTAAAGGTCGGGACACCCCAAGGGGAACAAGATTATTCTGAAGGGCTAAGACAAGGCATTTACAGTATGCTATGCAAATTACATTTATTATCTCATACTATTCTTAGCTTTTTTAATTGCAAATAGCTGAATAACTTGAAGAGGTCATATTATGCTGATTTTCAGGTTCATATTTGTATGTTGTGTCTCTACTGGGACATGTCTCCATGCTTTAATGTTCAAAAAGCTCTTTATTTTTCTCATACTGCCTGTGCTTCAGCACCTCTTTTCACCCTCTGTCTGAAACCAGAGCCCAGTCTGCTCTGATTGGTCACCTGGTTGGCTCAGTTGTGATTTGTCCACTGCTTAGAGATGTCCCGCACCTTAGCCTATCACGTACAATGTGTTGGAGCTGTAGCCAATAGAAGCTCGCGTGTTACATAGAAATATCACTATGTGCCAGAAGTAAACAAAGGAGTCCAATTGAGCTGTTTCAGGAAGGGGGGGGGGGGGGGGAGTGTGTGGGAGAGAAACTCCCTCTGGAGGGAACACAGGGATTTTGGCCTTTGGGAAACCCCAAAAGTCATAACTGGACCTCTTTAACCTCTCATTGACTATATATAGTATTCAAATAAAAACAGGGACAAATCCCTCTTTTATTGACCTTATCTTTGAAAAGATGCTGTGCCTGCAATACATTCAGAATGGATGTATGCCGTCAGAACACGTGTCCACATTCATTGTGATTGGAGAATATAGTCACTTCCACATCTGATCGTGTTCCTGTCAGATGAGCTCTCCGGTCACCATCTTGTACATCTGCAAATCGTGTCATGTGCTTTAAAGGGTAAGAGTCTAGCTCTCATTCATCAGTACTGGGAAAAGGGCTGACATTATTAAATCTAACATTTACTTATCAAGACTCTATCGTATCTCCACATTAAGACAACGTGATGTTTCAATTATGTCCCTGTATGACTCGAACCAAGCTCGACCAACACTTCCTATTCGGTGTCACTTCACGGTTACCAGTAGCATGATCAAAAGCTATATTAAGACAGAAATAAATATATATAAACACACAAAGCCAGCGCTTGTGAGCTGTTATGAAATTGCGGTCACAGGCTCAGACACATGATGGAGCCTCTTGGTGCGTAGCCATGGCAACTGCAGTGCAAGAAGAAAGGGGGGGGGATGATCCAGGACACAAAGCGTTAACGTGGCCAACAAAAACACTCGCACAACGGCAGCGGTTTTTCCAATGCAGGAGAACATAACTTGGCATTGAGATTTTTCATTGTGGCTTTACCACACACACACACACACACACACACACACACACACACACACACACACACACACACACACACACACACACACACACACACACACACACACACACACACACACACACACACACACACACACACACACACACACACACACACACACACACACACACACACACACACCACACACACACACACACACACACACACACACACACACACACACACACACACACACACACACACCACACACACACACACACACACACACACACCCACACACACACACACACACACACACACACACACACACACCACACACACACACACACACACACACACACACACACACCCACACACACAGTAGAGGGCTGTGTTCCTTGCAGAAGGATGCTGCCTTCTTTACCAAAGCAGGTCAGTAGGGTGTCATACATCACGTCTCTTCTTGCCATTGGCTGTACAAACACTTAGCCTCCCATAACTTCCTGGACCCGAGCCAAGCAGCAAAAAACATTAAGAGAGCAAAGACGCCACAGCCTGAGAGACAGACAGGTAGAGTAGGGGGAGGACGGTGAGAGAATGAAGGTGAAGCAAGGGGGGGGATGAAAGACACAGAAAACCAGAAAGAGGGGAGATGAAGAGAAATAAGGAAGAGGAAGACTCTGTGGCAAAGAAGAGGGTAGAAAGAAGAAAGAGAAAGTCAGATAGACGAGGGAGGGAGAGACAGGCAGACAAGCACAAGCAGAGACAAATAGAGAGGTGGAAAGCCAGAAAGAGAGAGACAAGCAGAGAGACTAGTCAGAACAAAACAGAGACACAAGCTGAGAAAAACAAAGGCAGCAGACAAGAAAAGAAAAAAACCGAAACAGAGAGAGACAGGAGGGAAAACAAATAACAGCAAGGACACAATCAGGCATGAAAACATACCGAGCAAAGCAAGATCTGCTTGAAATGTGGGCGTAAAAAACCAAGTTCAATCCACACCGAGACACACTGCACATCATTCCACTTTGAATTCCACTAAATAACAGGTGGAGGTGGATAAAGACTCAGTGCTGAGCAAGTGGTAAACAAACAGGAGGATGACAACAAACTCCTCTTTGAACACAAACACACATCGAGCCAAGGTCATCACCTTCAAACACACAGTGCGCCTTTTGTGTAATTACACATTAAGAGGGTGTTTGTGATCTGATCTTTTCTGCTTTTGTTTGTGTAAAGCTGAGATGACACATTCTTTTTTTTTTTCTTGGACGCACATCACCGCATAATCCATTCATTCCTTCACTAACGCACTGTGCCACTTCACTGCCGAACTGTACAGAGCTATTGCATATGTAACACTGTGACCTTGTTAAATATCCTCTACAAAAACAAGTCATTCCTGCATTTCTTCATGCTTCGGATCAGGTTTTAAATATGTCAACTATTGTAGCACAATCAGTAGTTTCAAATGGTGATTCTTAAATGTACCACACTGAGATTCAGCAGCAGGGCGTCACACTTACCCATGCTCCTTCCTTTGGTTGAAGGTGTAATAATCAATTTCCTGCACTTACTTGCAGTCATTTGCACACTAGCTGAATCAATGTTCTCCTTAACCAAAGGGTTTACTTATACCTCACATATGCACAGCAGCTAGCACATACCCCTCTCATTGAGCTTTGAGCCCTGTAACTAAGCATCTACATTTTAAATAGTTAAAGACCAACCAACATGGCACAAGCTAGAAGGCAAAGTCTTTTCTGAGCATGGTCCCTTTTATTTTTGTACATGCGTGTGCCACAGCACCATAACGTTGATCACTGTTATTTTCCTCATTGCACACGTACCGGTTGCTTGTTAAGCCAGGGGTAGGACAAAATGAACCCAGCAGTAATTTAAAGTGTGTATAGAAGAAAGAAAACGGAGGAGAAAACGAGTACGGTGCAACAATGCAGTAGTTCAGCTTCACCAGTGTGTATTTGGGCACGTGTGGGAGAAGTCTATGTCTATTTGTGTTGCTGACTCCTGCAGTAATGCACGTTTAAGAAATGTTTAATGGACTTCTAAACAATTTTTTCCTGGGACTACTTTATTGGTAAATCACACATTTGAAACTGGTAAAGCTGTTCTAGTATTTGACAGGTTCAGACAGGTGTCTCTCAGCGATACTAACTTTGTACTGTTTAGGAAGTGACTGCAGAATGTGGTGTTCATCTTTGAACTTCTTGTTATGTGTGTGAACATGCCCAGGCTGCTCCTGACACCTTAACACAAGTGTAAGTGTGTGGACAGATAGGAAACACAAACACGGCCCGTTTTCAGACTCAGCATTTCCACTATCACGCCTTGCAATGGCATCTGTAGTCCAAGTGTTACATTTTCAACTGCTTGGCACTCTTTTTTCTGGATCCAACATAGTATATGTACACCAGGAGACAAAAAGAACCACTC